CTATAACTACAATAACACAGTCTATCAGAAAAAAGTAAGTTCGGTATAGACATTTCATGAAAGGGTAGACGTTTTCTACTCACTGGGGGAAGGCACTGCTCCACATCTTCGGGCCCGGCCAGGGCTATAGGAACTTTTTCCGAACTCTCTGCCATTGTGTAGCGCAGGTCCCTATCTGATCCCCCCCGGCTCCAGCTGAACGATCTGTGCAGGACAGGAGAGCGTCACGTGACTCCACCTGTCAATCAAACGCGCCCGGGCACCTGCCCTGCCCCCTTCTCCTCCCGAGCTGTCTATTGCTCACCTCCCTCCTCTGTGGTCAGTTGAACCCCCCTCCTCATCATCTGAGGAATGCAGCTTGTGCACATACATGCTTCATTATTACTCCAGGTTGCCACCGAAATGTTCTTTTCCCATTTGTGAAGGATCAAGTGTTGTCAGGAAAGGGGGAGCCAAGTCTGGTTTTGTAGACAGCAGTGCCATTCATCTATGGCCCCTGGCCCCAAATAATTCACATTCACAGGGACCTAGCATCAGAGAGATAGTTTTTATGTCAAACTAGAACTGAAGCCAAAACTTTTTTTTTGTTAGATTTGGATAGAGTAAAGGGGGGGGGGGGGGGGGTTATATCCCTCTTTATTTGGACACAGAGCGTTCCCTTCACTTCCTGTCTGATAGCCACAACAGGAAATCTCTTCAAAGAGTGGGAAATCCCTGGTGCTCAGCAGTGTCACCAGAACTAGTGTCCCCATTGGAAGATTTCCCATCTATTCCTGTTCTGGTCACAACCAAAAATTGGTACTTTCTTTCACATTCAGTGATAACGGTCACCAGGACAAATATGGTGAATCTTCCTAACAGGAACACAGCGATACAAACCTGACAGATGTTGTAATCCCTCTATACTCCATCCAAAACTAAAAAAAATATGTTTTGGCTTAATTTGCTCTTCAAGTGTATGAATGCTAAAAAAGGTGTCAGTGTAAGGCCTCATTCACACGTGAATCGGCCGGCATGTTCAGCTCTGTATCGGGCAGCTCCCGTCCACCATCTACCTCCTGGACTAAAGGCTGTGACACACTGAACGCGAAGCAGCGCGGAGCGGTGGCGCGCTGCCTTCGCGAGCAGTGTGTTATGTCATTTTCTCCTCGGCACGTCAGCTTGCGAGAGCTCGCGTAGCTGAGCATGCCGAGATGAAAAATGTAATCTTCAGCCAATCGGCTCGCGCGTATAAACCTGCGCGTCAGCATGCGATGTCTGGCTGGTTGTTACGCACAAGCCGATTGGCTGAAGGTGCAGTCAATCATGTGACTGCACTCAGGTCACACACTGCACGCAAAGCTCCAGCTTTGCTTCGCTCTGCACGGCTTTGCGCGCAGTGTGTCACGGGCTTAAAGGAGAACTGTGGGGTCAGGGCTTTTCCCCATAGTTCAGGGTCACGGGAGAACACAAACTAGCATCCTCCGGGGGCCCAAAGCTCAGTATACCGCGAGCTACAGCTCGCAGTATACTGAGACGCCGCAGCCGGGACGGATCCTGACAATTATGTCTGGATCCACCCAGCTGCGGGATTGACAGCTGGCTCTGCCTATCCAGAGGCAGAGCCAGCTGTGCCCGCCCCCTCCCCCGTCCGTTTCGCCAGTCAGCGCTGGAGGATCGGACAGGGGAGGGGGAAATCCATGCAGGGAGCCTTGAGTGACAGACAAAGTTAAGAAAAGGAAAAAAGAAAGGTAAACAGTGCCTTACATTGCAACAGCACAAGGTAGAGCCCCCACCGCCAGTACACAGTGCACACTAGCCTACAATGATCAGTGTGCACTGGCCCCTAAGTGGGCCACATTCTGCAAAATGATGACAACATTTTCAGAGGTCTGCTTTAAACTTCTACAATACAGGGGTTGAGTCTTAACAACTATGTTTGAGCTAATGAACGAGGGACTAATATTTTTGTTTTATTAATTATTGTATCTATGTCTATCTATATCATAAGGTGCCGCATGCATTATTAGTACTAAATAAATTGGAAATGTGTTGCCATAGTAATGAGCGCGGCAGACATATAACGCATTTATCAGAATCCTCCATACCAATCAGATTGTCATATCTGATGACTGGCTGGATGGTCTTGTTGAATATGTATTAGTTTCTGCTGTGTAGCACAGAATTTGTTTTCAGCCCATCCATCCATACATGTTCAGCAGTTGTGAAATGAGATGAGAATGTGTCTAGGTAAGCCAGTTTTAATTGACTGAGCTCAATGACTGTGGCCCAAGTGGGGGCACATATACCATGCAGAGCTTCAATTACTATTAGGAAAGTCATACTGCGATATTTTTACTGTGCTCACCTTACTTTGATCTCTTCACCCTGTCGTGTTTCTGTCAATTATTCTTTAGTTGCCTCCCCTTGTATTCCTCTGGGTTTAGATGGATGTTTGTTGCTGTGTGGTGGGGATGGTGGTGGCCCATGATACAATACATTTACCATTTCATGCATGTGCCAGACATGTTTGGTGTTTGTTCATCTAGATATATTAATTGCGGTAAATAATATCATTATTATTGCCTATCTAGAGGCAGAGCCAGCTGTGCCCGCCCCCTCCCCCGTCCGTTCTGCCTGTCAGCGCTGGAGGATCGGACAGGTCGGGGGGGTGTGTGGAATCCCTGCAGGGAGCCGTGAGTGACAGTCAAGGCTCTCTGCAGGGATAGATTGAGAAGTGAGCGACGGTATGTGTTCGCTCACTTCCCGATCTATTGAGCCGACCTGTGACAGTCGCCGGCGGCCGCACACTACGGAGCCCTACGGAGCCGGTGGTCCC